GGTACGCGATACGTCTGTCCACACTTCGTTTTGAGAACGAGAGTGTTGGTCGCCCAATCGGCCTCGGTGCTGCGGAACCGACGAGACCACGGAGTGTCGAGAATGATGTCGTACCCCGACTCCATCACATCGAAATGTGCAGAGGAGCGGTGGCGACGAGACGCCGGGGAACGATCAGTCGGCTCGAGAGTGAGGAAGAAAGGGAGGTCGGTGACCGTCTGATCGAAGAAGCGTTGGGTCTTGTCATCTCCTAGGGTAACGGAAATGGGAGTTGGAGGCCCTGTCGTGGGTAAGCGAGCTTCTTTCACCACGCGTGGGTGAATGAAGTCGCCCTGAGAACCGGAATCCCACAGCACGGAATACACCCTCGTGGAGGTCCCGAGTCGTACTGGGATGATCGGGAGGGTGCGATCAGGGTCAGAGAGGATGGCGAGAAGGCGCCGCAGTGCAGCGACATGGAGGGTGAGTCGCTCCTGACGAGCCTGGAGCATGCTCAAGTCCAGAAGAAAGGACACAACGTCCTCGCGAGTAGCGAGCTGCTCACTGCAACGGGCTGAGCGAATGGCTCGACGCGTCGGTAGTCGCGGCAGGGAAGGAGGGGAGACGGTGGTCTGCGGAGGCGCAGACGGTACTGCGACAGAGGGCTGAGTACACTCTGTCGAGTCCTGCGATACCTCAACCCCAGTAGCGAGAGGGGCGAACCACGACGGAGATGTCGAGAAGCCCACTATTGAGGAGGGCGCAAGTGTACACTGCACCGTGGCTAGGAGGCGCCGTGGGGACGTGAGGCGCCGGGGGGGGACTGAGCACGACGCTGACGAGAAAGGTCAGCGTAGTGGCGATCGAGGGCGGTAGTGTAAGGGCACCGCGAGGAGGTATGACCGTCCAAGCAGCAGCGCAAACACCCACGCCGACCTTGAATGGCCGCGCGCTCCTCAGGGGAAAGAACACCACGAGGAGGGACGAAACCCTGAGGGAGGTCCTTCTGAGGGACCTCAGGGGGGGCGACGTGCCAGCGTGACCGAGGCGGCTGCGTGCCCGAGAGAGGGCGGAGAGCGCGAGCTGAAGGCGCTCAGCTGCAGGGAGGGTAGAGTCCTCCAAGTGATAGTGGACGGCCTCGCAGAGATCGAGGTCGTCGCTGTGGTCGCCCTCAGGTGACAGTGGGGGAACAACGTCCTGCTCACCATACTCCAGCGCGCTGAAGCGGCGCGAGAAGTGGCGGCCCTCCTGCGTGGAACGACGGGGGCGACCGCGAAAAGGGGAACGGCGCTGGGAAGTGTTGTGAGAGGAGGAGGAGGCGTAGCCCGTGCGCTGGGGCTGGGAGGAGGAGGCGGGGTGAAGACGGGCTCGCATCCGCTGATGGTCCCTGGCGACCTCGTAAGCCTGTGGGGCCGATGTGAACTCGTACCGCCGGCGGGCGTCCTGAAAGACCTGGATGTGGCGATCCAAGCCGGCAGCGCCACCAGAGACGGACCAGCGTGTAGTGACGACACGCTCGAAGGCGTCCGTCACGTCATATCGGGTTCCGAAGCGATCCTCGAGGAACGCCTGGAAATCCATGAAGGTCGGAGTCCGACCCTCACGCAGGGAGTAAGCATAGAAATCCTCCCAGGCGTCGAAAGGAGCACCACGCAGGCGCATGGAGAGGTGACCCACCCATGTGTCGGGTGTGGCGCCTATGAGCTGGAGCGTGCGGGTGGCAGCCTGCAGCCACCTAGACACACGTATGCCTGTACCGTCATACAAGGGAATGTCCGACAAGCGGATGAGTGGTGTGCCACCGTTTTGGCGGCGAGGGGAACGGGAAGCAGGGGACTGCGCTACGGCGGAATAAGTCGGCGCAGGTCCTGGAGGAGGAGGAGGCGCAGCTGATTGTACGCCCGGGCCGCATGGTGGAGCGGCGGGGGAAGCAGCGGCAGGCTGCACGGGAGCTGCGGTAGAAGAGGTCGCAGCGACCGAGGGGATGGGGAGGAGGTAGGATGGAGATTGGTAGGGTGCAGGGCGAGGGAAGCAAGCCTGCATGGAAGGAAGAATAGAGGAAGAAGGGGGTGCACCGGAAGGCGCGGCCACCTGTGAGGGTGGGGGTGGCTGAAGGCGTGAGAGGGCGAGGTCGGTCCGGAGCCGGGCGATCTCGTCCTCGAGACTTCGAACGTAGGTCGAGCGAGGTATGGCAGGGGGAGACGCACGAGCGGCGCGAGGCATCCCACAAGGGGAAGAGCCAGATGGCGCTGCGGTCGTGCGAAGAGGGGGGAGAAGTGGGGCACCCGGAAAAGCTGAGACCATGGTAGAGGGTTGTGGTCCCATGGCCGTCGTGACCGGAATCTGGGCGGGTGCGCTTGTGGACTGAGGGAGCGCCTGACTCATGGCGGTCGTTGTGCTAGGTGCGTGGACGGTCACCAAGATGGCCGGGTCGGGGGCTGCGGAGGAGGAAGCTCCACCGTGGCCACCCTGTCGGAAGGCGGGGGACCCGGACTGGGAGCCAGAAGAAGAGGTAGGGTGAGGAGAGGAAGGACGACCAGCGTCCTGGAGTTGCCGCACGCCGGCGGCAAGGGTTGCCACCTGCGCCTGTAAGGGCGAGAGAGTCGCGAGTTGCGCCTGGATGGGCGCCAGGAAGGAGGTGAGGAGGGTGTGCAGATCCCCCTGGGGCTGATGGCCCTGGTCCGCCGGCACGGGTGTGGAGCCCGATGTCGTGGTCATCGCCGTGTCGACGGCGTGTGACACACCGTCAGCCATGGGGAGATGACGAACCGGACTGGAGGGGGCCAGAAGAGGTCCGTGTGAGCGGAGGGCGTAGGGGGAAGTCCGCGGTAGAAAGCGGCGAACGGCGCTAGCAAGGCTAGCGCGGGCGTCGTCAAAGGGGGAGGGGTGGTTCGGGTCCAGGGTGCCCGAAGAGGACTGGGAAGTAGGGGGGGGGTTGAAGAACCCTAAACCCTACAAAACCCTAAGAAAACCCTAACGGAGGTTTAAGTGGTTAGGGTAGGGTACCGGTGACCTAATCAAGAAAGTAAAAGAGCAAGCATAGGGGAGGGAAAGCGGGAAAAAAATAAATAAACAGCGAGATTTCGAGAGAAAATAAAAATAATTAAGGAAATAAATAAATAATAAAAATAATTAAAGAAATAAGTAAAAGGATGGAAAAGGAAAAAAACAATATTTATTTTTTGAAATTTTCAGCAGCATTTCCCTACCCCCCACGGGACGGGGTGAAGAATGCGCCAAGGGAAAAGGAAAGACCAAGGTGAGCACACTAGATATGCCGCAAATAATAATAAAAAAAAAATAAAAATAAATAAATAAATAATAAATAAATAAATAAATAAGTAAATAAGTGTGTGAGGAGGTGGAGAGAAATGTGTTATCTGATTTTTCAAAAATTTTGGCAGCATTTTGTTACCCCCATGGAGTCGAAGTGTGCCGAAAAGACTAAATAAGAGAAAATCAGAAAATTTCGGCAGTACTTCGTTACCCCCACAGGGTCAAAACGTGTGCCAAAAGCAAGAAAGGCTAACACCTAATCAGATTGAGGGTTGCCGCCAAGAAATTCAACAGCAGCCCTCGCGACGACAATTCTCGAACTCAGCTGGTCCATTTCTGTTCCTGGCGGCCTGTCGACGGACATCTTCGGTCGGCAATGTTCGGCGCCATGGAATTGTCCGCCAACGCACCGACGGTCACCGTTGGCGGCCTAGACCCTCCTGGTCTTGGTGTACCTTGTACCCTTGGAGACACCAAGGGCCAGGTATCACTCCCTTCTCCCCTCTCCCTCTACTAACCCACTCTCTTCTTACTCACCCCTTCTCTTTCCCCAACCTTCTACTGCATCTTTTCTCTCCTCCTTTTATCTTCCCCACCCCACCTTTCTCCCACCACTCATTCTTTTACTCTATTTTCTTCATCTCTTCTTTTCTTTCTTTCTTTTTTTCTTCCTTCTTGATCTCTCTCCACCTTTCCCCATCCCTCCTCTCCCCCAACTACCACCACACCATCCCCCTACCTCCCACTTCATCTTTTTCTTTCCCCCCACCTATTTCTTTCTTTTCTCCTTCACTTCTTCATTCCCCTTCCCCCCTACTTCGAATTTTTTTTCTGTTTTTCTTCTTTCCACCTCCCTTTTGATTTATCTTTTTTCTTTTCCAAAAATTTGAAATCTCGTCTCTCCCACCCTCTTTTCTGATTTTCTGATTCATTTCATTTATTCTGGAAATTCGATTTTCTCTACGGCAACCCTAAATCTGATTAGTTGTTAGTTTTCTTATCCTCTTCCCCACCCTCTTTTCTTATTTTCTGATTTATTTTATTTATTTTTATTTAGGAATCCCCAAGGAATCCCCGACAAAATGTTTTCACTTTTTTTTTTCAATTTGGAACGATGAATTCCTAGGGGATTTACGTGCCCCAGCAGTGTCTAACGAGCCCCAGTGTCCTTTGGGACATCCGGGGCAAGGTCCCACTTGCGCAAATTAGGAGATTTGGGCCGTTGATCTTTGCTGCTATCTACGGTCAGTATCTCTTAATTCGTGCAAGTGGGACCTAGCCCCCGGTATCACGGGCCAGTGCCCAAGGCAACAATACAGCAAAAATAGTATCGAAAATTCAGGGACCGCAAGGCCTCCGCCTTCAGCCTCGCGCAGAGCCCCTCCCCCGTAGTAGCACGGATGAAAAATCCTATTATGAAAATTGGCCAGCGACAGACGAATCAACAGAAAAAAACAGGCCTGAGAATCCCCAAAGACAATCTAACGGATACCTATTCACCAACTGTAAGCGCTCTTGCGCGAAACCAGAAATCCTACGGAGATAGCAACAACCAAAATTCACAAAGAACATCGGAGTTGCTGATTGCTTTTGTGAATTTTTGCTGTCGCTACTCTCCGTGGGATTTCTATTGCTTTGTGAATTTTTGCTGTCGCTACTCTCCGTACGATTTCTTGTTTCACAAAGCCCGCTGCTCTTCTTGGAGCCTGCTGCAGTCGCGAACTCCCCGCTTCAGTGAGGTCGAAGTCTCGAAGATGGCTGCTGTGGCAGGTGCGTCCGCGTCCTCGTCGGCTGTGAAGGCCGTGGCGGCGGCCATTGCACCGGCCAACAATCCTTCCTCTCATAATAAGGCCGGAGGAAGCTGCGTGTCCTTCCCAGGCACTTGCGGCGGAGGACATTCTCTGTGCCACCGCTCGAGATCCCAGAGCTGTTCCAGATGGTCTTTCGCTGTCCGCGCCGCCACGACCTTAACTAATAACTTCAAGACCTTGAGCCATATGGGAGATCGCAGCCTTGTGAAGGTGAAGTCGGCAGAGGAGAAATCGATTGGAGGGATCTTGCACCCAACGTCGGGACAGTGGAAACCTACCGGCGGCGAGGTTGTTGCGGTCGCAGATGGCCGGCTACCGGTCGTAGGCGACAAGAAAGTGGGCGGCAGTATCGATCGCGGAAGGAATGTGGTGGTTGCAAAGTACGCGGGCAGCCAGTTAGGAATCAACGGCCAGGATCATGTCCTCGTCAGGAAGGACGAGGCTGCTGTCGGCGCGATGGTCTCCGATGACGTCAACGAAATGAAGCCCCTCGGGGATAGGGTTTTGATCAGGCTTGCGGAGGCTGAAGAGAAGACAGCTGGCGGAGTGTTGCTGACGGAAAGCACCAAGGAGAAGCCGTCCATTGGAACGGTTGTTGCTGTTGGCTCGGGTCAGATTGCTGAGGACGGCAGCCGAAGACCTCTTGATGTTGCCGTTGGTGATAATGTGATGTACTCGAAGTATGCTGGTCAAGAGTACAAGAGTGCTGATGGCACGCAGTATGTAGTTGTCCGAGCCAGTGACATCATGGCGTTAATGTCCTGAGGCTTTGGGTCGCCCGCAGTTTTTTTTTCCTTTTTGTGTTTTGTCGAGTTCTGTCCGAGCATCCTTTTCCTCTCTTCCTTTCTGTCGATGATGAATGATCAATCAACGAAGCTCTCTTGCGGCTGTAATGTAGCATTGGGGGAGGCGATTTTGTTGGTCGTTGTTGGGCCGCAGGCTTCCTCCGTCAGGAGTTCTAAATGTACCACCTGTCATGGTTGGCGATCAACCATTCTTTTTTTTTTTTTTTTTTTTTTTTTTCCAACCATTCTTCTGTCCGGACGTGTAGTTGTCATTAAGGAAGCTGATTTGGAGTTCCAGTTTGTTGAATGCCAGCAGGCGGAGTATTTTGTATATGACAACGAGATTGAGAAAAATAGACCGTTGCTTTGTTGTGGGGAAAAAAAAAGAATAAACAAATAAAAATCACAAAGCTGAGCCCAGGAGCCAGGACCCACTAGGTCCGATTTACGCTTGTGCTCTGTGTTTTTTTTTTTTTTTTTTT